TGATACGTTCCTTAAAAAACTCAATTTGTGTAAATTATTTCCCTGGTAATGCACCACGCATTTTCTCTTAGTGTGTTACTCAAAAGTTCAATTTATATGAATTCTTTCCTTGATAATGCAACACTGGTTCTCTTGAGATTAGTTCCTAAAAATCAATTCGTATGGATTCTTCCATTGATAATGCAACACGAGTTCTCTCGATATGTTACAAAAGACATCAATTCATGTGGATTCTTCCGCAATACTCATTATTTTTTGATACATTCCTCAAAAAATCAATTAGTATGGATTTTCCTCCCAACAAAGGAAAAGATTATGGCATTTGACAAAGCGATTAATATTTTGTTCTTGATATATTTATTACATTGGTTAACGTTGAACGTGCGCTGCACTTTATTATGAAATGCATTATAAGTGCTGTAAAAGTAATATTTGAATATCCTTAAATGTTAATTAATTTAGAATTAATATTAGGGAATATATATGTGACAATAAATGTTAAATCATTTATTTAATTTTCAATTAAGTAAAATTAGATGTTAATTAACATACATGAACGTGAATAATGAAATGCATTCTTTAATGTGAAATTCTTGTAAGTAGAATTAACAATATTGAAATGCATAAATGAAGATGAATATCAATTAAATGAATATGAATGTCAATCAATTGAGAATTAATAATAGAGAATTCATACATTAATGAAAGCACACGAGTTAAATGAATCTGTCAAATGTATATATACATTGATGGTAACTAAATGGTTAAATAAATTAAATACATATTGAAAAATAAAAGGTAAGGTATTATTGCAATAACTGAATTATAGTAGGGTTAGAATCGTTCAAAAAATGATTTTCACTTGATGCGATATTTAATATATTATAGAAAAATACTTTAAAAATTACAAATTACATGTGTTACTAATTTATTAGAACAAAAAAATATTCAAAATACAATAACATACTCCCTCCGCGCCAATTATATAGGCTTGTTTCGTTTTTCACACTGATTAAGAAAGTTTCTTTAAT